TCCGGCGATCCTTCTGCCTCAGCCTTCCAAGTAGCTGGAACTATAGGCGCGCACTACCACGCCCAGCAAATTTTTTGATTTATTATAGAGATGAGGTCTCACCAAGTTGCCCAGGCGGGTCTTGAACTCGCGGACTCAGGCAGTCCACTCACCTCAGCCTCCCAAGGTGTGGAATTACAGGCTGAGCCACCGAGCCCAGCTACACACCAGTCTTTTTCAGACTTAAAATTGCAAGTTGGAGAATCCTACTGGTTCTGCAAATGAGGCCGTTAACACTTACATTGTTGGCCAGCTGTTATATCAGATGATTATGTCACAGAGTAGCAACTCTGGGGACAGTGATCTCTTACATATCAGAATCTGTGTGGTGGTGAAAGTAGCCAAATACAGTTAATAAACTTGCACTTGGCCAGTTAAGTGACCCGCCCCCCCAACCCTAGAACAGTTATCAGTATTTCATCCCTGAGAGACATTAATGCATAATGGTTAAGGAGCATTAACTCTGGAGACAGACTGCCTGGCTCTGACTCCCAAGGTACAACCTGTGTGACTTTCAATGAGGAACTGAATATCTCTGTCTTTGTTTTCTCAACTGTAAAATGGGTCCAATGATAATCCTAATTACAGGATTGTGAGGATAAATGTAAAGCACTTAACATAGACCTGGTGTATAATCAGTGCTAGATAAATAAGGCTTTTCATTATTTACCATACATTAAAACTGTGTCAAAATGGTAACTGAATTATAGGTATTTTGTTACTTTGAGGGGCTGTGATGATTAACTTAGCAAAGGAAGTCTTTACTTATAAGAATAGTACATTCAGTCTAAGTTTGAACTAGCACAGAAGGATACAATATGAAAGGTAAGTCTTCTTACCCCCTCCTCTCGTATCAACATCCCTGACTTAATTTGTTGCATCCTTCCAGAAAGAACAATGTATACATATAGATATAGATTTTTTCTAACTAAGATCAAGGTATTTTATGCAGTCTTCTATTTTAAAATTTCGAATTGCTAAGTATACATAACATAAAACTTACCATTTTAAGTATATCATTCATTGGCTTAAGTATTCACATAATTGTGAACTATCACCACTGTCCATCTTCGGAAATATTTTATCCTGCAAAACTGAAGCTCTGTAATCATTAAGCTATGACTCCCCATTCTTCTATTCTCCCAGCTTCTGGCAACCACAATTCTACTTTCTCTTTCTATAAATTTGACTACTGTTCTCACATACGTGGAATCATACAGCTTTTGCATTTTGTGACTGACTTCTTTCACTCAGCATAATGTCTTCAGGGTTCATGCATGTTGTAGCATGTATCAGAATTCCCTTTTTAAGATTCAGTAATTAACCAGGCTCGGTGTCTCAGCCTGTAATCCTGCGCCTTTGGGAGGCTGAGGTGAGTGGATTGCCTGAGTCCGCGGGTTCGAGACCCGCCTGGGCAACTTGGCCAGACTTCATCTCTACAATAAATAAAAAAATTAGCCGGGTGTGGTAGCGCGCGCCTGTAGTTCCAGCTACTTGGGAGGCTGAGACGGAAGGATCTCGGAGCCCAGCAGGTGGAGGCTGCGGTGGCCGGCAGCTGCCACTGCACTCCAGTCTGGGCGACAAAGTGAGACTCCAACTCAAAAAAAAAAAAAAAAAGATTCAGTAATTGCCAGATGCAATGGCTCAAGCCTGTAATCCCAGCACTTTGGGAGGCCAAGGCAAGAAGATTGCCTGAGCCCAGGGGTTCAAGACCAACCTGGGCAACTTGGTGAGACCTTGTTTCTACAATATATCAAAAAATTAGCCAGGCATAGTGGTGCATGCCTGTAGTTCTAGCTAATTGGAAGGCTGAGGCAGAAGGATCACCTAAGCCTAGCAGGTTGAGGCTGCGGTGGCTGTGAGCATGCTACTGCACTCCAGCCTGGGCAACAGAGTGAGATTCCAACTCAAAAAAAAAAAAAAAAAAAAGATTCAGTAATCCTTTGTGTATCTATACCATATTTTGTTTACCTGTTTATTTGTTGATGAACATTTGGATTGCTTCCACCTTTAGGCTATTGTGAATCATGCTGCTGTGAAAATAGGGTGCAAATATTCATATCTAGCTTTTTCATGTAAGTTTTAAAAGGGTCTTTTGATAATATTATTTTAGTCTTTTATTTTTCTCTAGATACTATGTCATCAGATTCATTAGGATATTTTTTATTAAAATGGCATCCTGAATTTTGTCTAACATTGGAGAATTTGTTTTATGTTATATATATAATTAGAGAATCAGATCTGTGTAATGCTTATAAAGAAAATAATTTTGTCTTCTAACTGAAATTAAATTTATGATTTTTAGATGTGGCCAATTAGATAGTGCTTTGAGTGACGCTACTAGTCGTGTGAGAACACTTGAAAATAAGAATAACTTACTGGAAATCGAAGTGGTGAGTCCTCTTTTTTTTGGATATCTAATTTTAGATAACCTTGGTTATGTGCTTCTTGTCATCTTTTTAAGGAAGTTTTATTAAGTATGTTTATATTTTCAGTGCTCCTGACTTTATATGATACTATAAATTTCACCCTTTAATTTTTTTTATTTTAAAAATTGGGATATAATTTGCATACCATAAAACTCATCCTTTAAAGTGTATAATTCAGTGTTTTATAGTATATACAGAGTTGCACAGCCATCACCCTAATCAACTTTAGGATATTTTCTTCAGTCAAATAGAAAACCCACATCCCTTAACCATTGTTCCCACACACACTCTTCTTCCAACCCCTGGCAACTGCCACTCTATTTTCTGTGTCTGTGGATTTGCCTATTCTGTCCACTAATATGTTGATATAAATGAAATTATACATTGTGTGATCTTTTGGTCTGGCCTTCTCACTTAGCATCTATGTTGTAGCATGTGTCAGTTCTTCATTCCTTTTTATGGCTGAATAACATTTTATGGTATGGATAGACCACATTTTGTGTATTCATTCATTAGAGAATAAATACTTAGATTGTTTCTACTTTTTGGCTATTATGAATAATACTGTTATGAATATATGCATATAAGATTTTTTTGTGTGTATGTATGTCAGAGTCTTACTCTGTCACCTAGGCTGGAGTGCAGTGGCATGATCATGGCTCACCAAGCCTCGACCTCCTAGGCTCAGGTGTTCCTTCTGTCTTAGCCTCCTGAGTAGCTGAGACCAAGGCACATGCCTCTGTGCCCAGCTAATTTTCTAATTTTTTGTAGAGACAAGGTCACGCCAAGTTGCTCAGGCTGATTTCAAACCTGTGGGCTTGGGCAATCCACTTGCCTCAGCCTCCCAAAGTGCTAGGATTACAGACTGAGCCATCGAGCCTGGGCTTTATTTTTTATTTTTTTAAATTTTGAGTTAGGGTCTCACTCTGTTGCCCAGGCAGGATTGCAGTGGCACAATCACAGCTCACTACAGTCTGGACTCCCTAGGCACAGGCAATCCTTTCACCTCAGCCTCCTGAGTAGCTGGGACTACACGTGTGCACCATCATGCCTGGCTAATATTTTTGTAGAGATGAAGTCTCACTATGTTGCCTAGGCTGGTCTTGAACTCCTTGGCTCAAGCAATCCTGTCTCAGTCTCCCAATGTGCTGGGTTATGGATGTGAGCCATTATACCTGGTTGGAAATGCCTATTCTATACATTGTCTTTGCTTTTTTTTTTTTTTTTAATTTTTAATTTTAAAGATGTAGAGTACAATTCAGGGTTAGATATACAGATGTTCATTATGCAGGTACCCTTGTTGGAAAGGTGTGCCCCTCCCTCCTCTGGCAGTTTCCCACACTACCAATCCTTTTCTCACAGTATTATGATAATTGTTCAAGGTCCACTTATGAGTGAGAACATGTGATATTTAGTTCTTTGTTTCTGTGATAGATCACTCAGTATTATAGACTCTAGGTCCATCCAAGTTGCTGTAAAGTTCATAATTTTGTCCTTTATAGCTATATAATATTCCATTGTGTATATGTACCACATTTTAAAAATCCAGTTCTCTTTTGATGGGCAGCATGGTTGGTTCCATGTTTTTGCTATTGTGAATAATACTGCAATAAACATTGCAGATATCTTTTTCATAGAGTGATTTGAGTTCTTCTGGGTATATTCCCAGTAGGAGGATTGTGGAATCGTATGGAAAGTCAATTTTTAGATCTTTTAGGACTTGCCAAACTGTTTTCCACAGAGGTTGTACTAGTTGGCACTCCCACCAACAGTGTAGAAGTATTCCCTTTTCCCAGCATCCTCTCCAGCATCTGTTGTTTTTTGAGTTATTGTTGATGGCCTTCCTGACTGGAGTTAGGTGGTATCTTATTGTGGTTTTAATTTGCATTTCTTTGATGACTAGTGAAGCTGACCATTTTTTTATGTATCTGTTGGCTGCTCATATGTCTTCTTTTGAGAAGTGTCTATTCATATCTTTTGCCCACTTTGTAATGGGGCTGTTTTTTTCTTTTTGACATGTTTGAGTTCCTTATCGATCCTAGATGTTAGGCCTTTGTCTGATATACAGTTGGCAAATATTTTCCGTGCTCTCTCTTTTTTCCTTTTTTAAAAATTTTTCCCAGTTGGAGTCTCACTCTGTCAGCCAGACTGGAGTGCAGTGGCCACTCCCGGCTACTGCAGCCTCGACCTGCTGG